TGAAAATACGTATCTTCAGTAGGCGTGCACCGTTACACTTGTTAAGCTCTTCATGCTAATAACTTGTTATAATCTTAGTGGTATAAGAGTAACAGATAAAGGAAGACAAAATGTTTAAAAAAATAAAGCTGAAGGGGGCTATAAAACTTCTTTTCTTTTTCACTTCATTGTAATAGCAAAATGAAGGGGAGGGGGGCTTTTTATAGCCAACGTCCCCTCCTCCATTCACCGCCTCAAAGTTAAGGCGGTGGATGTCCACCATTATTTTACAACAATTTGTCCATTTATGTTATCAATTGTTTGTTGAGAAAACGGTACTTAAGGGAGGGTATTGAGGATATTGAAAATCTCAAGGGAGGTATCTAGGGTTTTTGTAACAATTGGTGGTAATTTGAAGTTTCAGGAAACTTCAAGCGAGGTAGTGATTATAGGCCTTAAAATTTCAAAGTACATAAAGGAATGGATTGTTGTCAATCACACTACGTAATAGCCATATTTTGGCCGTAGTTGACGGCTATATTTGGGCCGTTAATGACACAATGAATTTAGCTAGTTGTGCGCCATTTCGGCAACTGTCGACTACCGTCTGGTGGTAGTAGTCGACTGCCAACAGTTTTTGAGTGGGTGGGAGTGTTTTTATTAATTTATAAACTTTTATTATGGGGAGTGTTTAGCTAAATTAACAAATATAGGGGGTTAAAAAATAATCTGAATATTTTCACAAAATGTTTTCAAAAAATGTACCTAACAACTATTCTAATTTTTATCCAACTCATATATAATTTTCAGATATTATACCATACACATTCTCAGAATCCTATCTTATTTGATTTAATTATATCATATTCTATTCAAATAGTTTTTCAGGATAACATTTTTTCAAATAACCTACCAAATGTGATAATAGCTGCCATTATGGTATTTCAAAATACCAAGTGTTGATTGCTTTTTGGACTGTTATGCAATTAAAGCAATAATAGTTTTAATTTTTAATTTAAAAATGGTTGTTATGCAATTAGTATAATGACAGTTTTTTGAGCTTTAATAGGTGAGTGGCAGTTTCATGGGTGGCTATTATGAGATTGATAGTTTCAGCTGTTATAATATTAATAAATTGGAGTAATTTGGTTGTTACTCTATTAATTCTTAGGAGAGTAACATCCAAATATTTTGTGTATAAAAGGACCAATTCCTTTTCATTTGTAGTAGACTCCAATTATTTTTTGCTCCCATTTTCATACTGTGTCAAAACACATTTTAGTTCTCATTGTTGAAATAATATCATCACTACTCAATTACTTCTCTATTATTGTTCTAAATCTCTATTAGAGTGTGCACTCTAAAAGGAGGTTTGTCATTGTATCCTGGAGGTCAATCCGTTGTTAAGCGTTTTTGCAACATGAAGATTCTTCCAGTAGGGGCGGAATTCTGATCTTAAGGACAGTGTTTTTTGCACGCCTTAATGCTACTGTATCGTTGCTGTTTCGCTGCTGTGTTCGGTGCTGTTTCACTGCTGCATTGTTGCTGTTTCGCTGCTGTCTCTCTTCTATTATTCCTGCTGTTTCACTGCTGTTTTGATGCTGTTCTTCCACTGTTTTTCTGCCAATTTATTATTAAATTTCAACACCAAATAGACCCTAAGTCTTTGATTCTTCTTCTTAAGCACATGATGTGTACAATACAAAAAAAATCTTTTTCAACTAATGTTCATTAAATGATAACATTACGAAATGCCAAATCAATAGCAACCATGAAAGAGATGCATAAGAAAATCTGACAACTTGTAAGAATCAATTTTATTAATCACACATAAAAAGAACTCATCTGTTAACTACAATAATAATATCTTATTTGTCAATATTGTAAAATACAGTTTCAGTTCTTTATTCAACTAAACATATATGGAAAATGATAGACTTACCGACTGGTGTGTACCGATTTTGTGCACCGAATGACGTGGCAAAATCCTGACCGTTGATTAATATTAACTGATAATAAATAAACGGTCAGGATTGTGTCACGTCATTCGGTGCACAAAATCGGTACACACCAGTCGGTAACTGTAGCATTACTCAACATATATTGATTTAATTAAGCTTTTATAGTCAAAATAATGAACAAGCTCTGAATAACATAACAACAAACATGAATCAGGTTCAATGATATTCTCTCGGCATAACAAAACCTAAATTAATAGCGTACTCATTTGTAGGGGCGGATCCAGCCCGCTCATGGCCCACCCTCAAATTTTTTTTAAAAAATACTAATATATATAATTTTTTGATTTTGGCCCACCCTAACAAAAATATAAATGGACAAAAATATTTATTTAGTTTTAATTTTGGCCCATCCTAAAAAAAATTTATGGATCCACCCCTGCTCATTTCACTATAGACACAATTGATCACTAATAAGCCACAAAATTCATGAAACTTAGATTAACCTAATGTTAACCACCTAGAATTATGAATTAACAAGATATCAGATACCATCATAAGGCTGGTGGTGACATGCAAGTATCCTGGATTCTAATCTCTGTTTTAAAACCCGTACTGGCCCGGCCAGTTTGGATCGGTACCCGGGGTGTTCTCCGAGTCGGGCTACTCTTTTTAACTATTTCAAGTTTCAAATATAACAAACACACCCCTGATTAATACGCATCAGTCTCTGAAGGTTTCAAATCTAGCAAACACACCCTCTGGCCAAATGCAAATCAGCAATGACCTCCCCTTTTTTGGCGACCTTCCACCTTCCCTTACTATCGGAAACCACCTTCTGACTTTCTCCAGTGCTGTCATGCTTCATCTCCAGCCGCCGCGTGATGTTTCGTCGTCCACCTTCGCCGCGTGATTTTTCTTCCATTTCCCGACGTCGATCGGCCTTCTCCAGCATCGACAGGCTTCCTCAGCCACTGATCTACCTTCTCCCAAGTTCCCTTGCCGTCGTTCACGAAGATCCAGTCATCTCACCAAAAAAAAGCCACCTCGACCATTGACTTCCACCACCGATCAGCCATTTTCCGGTGATGCCTCTACTTGCTAGCTGCTGATTCGCCCTCCCCATCATCCGATCTACCCTCCCTGGTGTGTCGTTGCTGCTCTCCCAATCGATCGCCAATTTGCATTTGGCCAAGGTTGTGTTTGCTAGATTTCAAACCTATAGGGTCTGATGGTATTTATCAGGGGTGTTTTTGTTAGATTTTAAACTTGTCAAACCATTGGTTCAACCGGCGGTCCAACCGGTTGGACCGGTTGAACCGTGACCCGACCATCAGAGCGGGTTGCCCTCCGGTCCGGTTTTTAAAACAATGATTCTAATTGCTTGAATGAACTCTCATAAGGATTTGACAATGTATGTTTACTGAAAGAATGCTAAGTTCTTAATTCAGAGTCTGTCTACAGTCAAATTTATAGACCTAAGATAAACAGACACAACCCTTATGACAAGACACAATATCCACAACCGTTTAATTAACTTCCAATAACTGCTTGGAAGTTAATTAACAGTTTTTATCTTTCCCAAGAGTTGCAATCATATATAAAGAGTTATACCATAATGAGTGTGTTTGGTTCAATGCCATATAAGATTACTCCAATAATGTTCGTTTAATTTTCAAGATTCCCTTGTTTGGTTTGTAGGTAATAAAATATTACGGTAATTTTTTGTTGTAAATAGTATTTACTGTTGGTAATATATGGAGTAATCAGATTACCTTGCCAATGGGTGTTATTAAAAGATTACTGAGGTAATCTGATTTTTATATATATATTTACCCCTAATTAAATACCATTTCGGACACAGTTGCCCTCAAATGTCTACCAAATAAACATTAGCCTAGACCCTCTATCTTTGAGAATTTAGGTAAAATACCCCAACCACAAAAACGTTTAAAAGTTAACAAAATACCCATAGTCATCTAAGACCACCGCCGTTGCCGGCCACCACTGTTGGCAGTCGCCATATCGGCGTACGACCGGTAAGATCTGGTCGATCGTGCGCCAATCTAGCTGTTTTTTACTAGATAGAAAGCTAGAAACGGCCAAACTGTCATGAATCTGGCAGGAAATGACCAGAATATATATGGTCGTTTCCGGCCAAATCTAAGGTGATTTAGCTGTTTTCGGCCTTTGATTTGGCCAGAAATAGCCAAATCTTTGGTTGTTTTCGACTAGATATGGCTGTTTTCGACCATGGATCACAAATAAAATCCTATATAATTAGGACTAAAAGCCTTTAAATACATTTTGATTTGTAGAGAACAATAATTTAGAGAAATCGAGTTAAAGAAGCTAACCCATGAGCTTAGTAATATTCTAAATTTTTTTCTATTCAGTTATTATAAATAAAATCCTTAGTAAAATAATATTCCTACAATTGCCCTTATATTATCAATGTATTTACTTAAAAACTAATATTGCTCATTTTGTATATTAAAATATATTACTTGTGTTCTTATTAGAATACAGTTTAAGAAATTTGTTATTTTCTTTAAAAAAATAAAAATTGAAAAACTTGAGAATAATTTGATCCTAAATAGATTGAAAGATCATTGTCCCTTAAGAAAGCTAGTTTTCAAGTGCTACAATGATGTTTTAAAAGTAGTAACAAACCCTTATTAGGGGCCATTTTTATAATTGTAGGAGGTTTGATTGATATTTTTCAAGCCCAAACATCCAGTGCTGTGGGACTTGTCGTGTGCGGTCCGTGATAGGCTTCTACGGGATGAATTTTATCTTGGAGATTTAGGCTAATGTCACCCAGAAACTTACAACAGTAAACAGATTTGACATATAAGAAAGTAAAGGAAAATAATTGATACTCCACCGGATGATTCTGCTACGAAGATAAATATATAAAACTGGCTTATTCAATTTTAATTGGCTAAATGACTCCAGTACTTACTACCTGATTGCAAAAATAAATAAATAAAGAGCAATGGTCTTCCTCCTATTTTTGCAACCCCGAAGTAGTGTAGCAGAAACAGAAAGTTGAGAATTATGTAGTAGAAAAAATATTTATTTGATATTAGTTCAGGATAACAAGGACATAATAGTCTTTTACACATTTGAAGTTACATTACACTGTCGTTTTCAGAAAACTGAGGGGTGGGTATTTGATATTTTTTCCACAGAGTCAATATATATGGAAAGAGTTTCCAAACTTTTAACTCAATTATTGATCTTGATTCTACAAAATACTGTAACAACAGCGGATATGCGCTCAGCTCCTTCATAATATAATTTAGGAAATAAAACGGGCTATCAAACAAGCAAGTACTAACATGAAGAAGACTACGCTTCACAAATGACGTGAAGAATGATATTATATATTACATTATAATTCTATTTAAATATTTTTTTTTACCTGATTGTTCTTATAATAAATCTTCGCTCTGATAGTTTCTGTAGAAAAGCAAGATCCTTTCTTTCGTGGAAAGTTGACTATACTGTTTTCTGTTAAACTCTATAACCCAAATGCAAGCTTCTTGGCTGGATAAATCCCATTTACTCTATCTTCTTTCTGCTTATTCTGTGGCGAGAGCTTCATTCCATTTTCCTTCTTTTTCTTGTATTGCATATTTGATTCACCTGTTTTTTCACCACCACTTTTCCTGCCATGCAAGCGTCAAAAAATGAAATGGTAAGACTAAGAAATCTATGCAAAACATGAGAATTACTAGCTCACAGCTAATTCTATTTTTTTTTTATTTTCTTTTAGATTTTCTTGTAAAAAAATTATTTTTTATCAAACCTGAGGTGAAGCAAAACAAACAGCGCACCAACAACAGCAGATCCACTTGCTACAGACATCAGCAGTAGCCTTCTGCCGGACTTGTGCCTTGCTAGTTGTACACTGGGATCATCTGTTCTATCAGAGTTCTCGACTGATTCCACCACTTCATGTTGTTTGAGAACCTATTGAACAAGATAAGTCAATATAAGTTAGCAATCAAGGGTTTTTAAAAGAGATCGAACACCAAAATAGAAAAAGAATAAACAAACCTCGCTATGCCCCTTATCCACATCTTCTGCAGAGGAAGAATGATTTTTCTGAAATGTACAACCCACGTTTTCCATACATTCAGTTGTCGAGCACAAACATTTATCTGGTATTGATTCAACAATGGCAGAATGAATTAACTCTTTGTCATTTTGAATAACACCAGACTTGATGTCTTCATGCACTAAGGCATCTCCTCCGGCGATTTCCCCATGTAGACCCTTGTGCAAAATAGAATTGGGAGAAGTTTTGTTACCCTCATTCCCATCATTTTCATCAGATATTATACCAACGACACATTTGCCTTTTTGATTCCATAGATGAAGATCAAGTGGAGAATAAGATTGAGCCAACAAATCCAAACATTGATTGCAATTTACATTCTTTAAACAATCTGAATCTAATTGAGAGCATTTTCCCTCATCAATTCCAACATTTGGATCTAGTGACTTGCATATTCCATTATCATATACAACACCATGATCTGAATTACCAGTGATGCATGATGGACTATCAGAACATGGTTGCAAAAGGTTGGTATTGAAGCTTTCTTGTATGAATTTTATGTCAATAAGTGGCTCTTCAGCCTTAGGTTTTGAGCAGTACATGAGAGTCTTGTTTTTGACTGCGTTCTGAGTTTTGTGATCCGCCTCGCCGTGCTGCACTTCAGGTAACCAGAAAGTTTTGAAATCATGACCTGCATCCTCTTGATCATCAAAATTCATGTTCTGAGAAACACCAGGCAAAGAAATAATGCGTGGAGTTGAAGAAAATTCCTCATCATTGACATCAGCAAGTTTGCTTCTAAATCCATTTTCAACAGTCCTCGGCGTTGAATTTGACCCATGAGAACTGGGGCTTGTGTATCCATTAAAAATACTGTTATCTCCATCAAACTGGATGGGGTCATTGGTATCCAATTCATGGCAAACCATAGTTGAAATTGCTATGGGGAGAAAATTATTTTTTTCCTGTGTGCCATCACCCGTGGAATCCTCACCAGCACCAATTTGCATATCAAGATCACTATAACTAAAGTCCAGCGTACGAATTTCATAGCTATGCCTGGATCTGGTTTTAGTATGAGAAGCCCTGCCATCTAAATGAATTGGTGAATCAACACATGAAGTAGATGACAAACCATCCAGATGATAATCATTTTCCCAAAGCAGTGAGCAAACAGATCCTGCTGATTCATTCAAACAAGGAGATTCAAATTCATGTGCATACTCATTTTGCTCTTGGTTTTCAACTTCTAATGGGGAAAATTGGTCTCCAGGAGCACATTTTCCAACCACTGCAGATACTCCCGGAGAATCCACTGAATAAAAATTCAACTGGGATGAAGCATCATAAGGAGAATTTGGTGAGGAGGCATCGGATTGAATGATTAAATTGCATGCTGAATCATCAGACTGTTCGGGGAACAAACCATAGTTTCCATTTGAACCTACAATGGAATTTCTCTAGAGAAAGTGGTGTGAAATATTAGAAACACAATATATCAGATTTACAAAGAAATGAACTCTTAAGACCAGTCTAGATTTTTACTTTATAATGTATTCTCTTATATCAGACACTAATTCATTGGCAAGAAAACTCTCTTTCTTCAATTGAACAAAAAAGCAACACTGTTTACCTCCCTGGAATTTGCTATCAAAACATGGCTTGAATTTTGACTAGCAGTGCTCAAAAAGATATGTTGTGACTGCTCCAAGCTTCTACGGATGCATCCGACCATATCTGTTGGCATAGCAACGGCATAAGTGACCACATCAAAATCTGGAACCTGCAACAAAAGAAATTGAGTGTATTCATGGTGCTAGTATTGTCAAGCTAACTAGGTTAACCATCTTAACATGTAGTAATGCAGTAGTGCAATCATATATTTTCATGAGGAAAGTAAGAAGTATGACAGTAAGATTCTTACATTTAACTGCTTTGACCTCGCTTTATTTGAAAGCAAACGTATACACATACAAACTTTCCGAGTATTTTTTTTTTCAACAACGTCTGATGGGGAGAAAAGATCAATTCCAGTTAATCCCAACATTTTGCAGATCTAGATAAAGGAGAAAAGAAAGCATAATTTAGATACAACAAATCAGCTACAAGATTTGATATCAAATCCTAAGTCCATCGAGCTCATTTGCATGAAAGAAAAAATGGAAGATAAAAAAAGTAATAAGAGTACAGGTAAAGGAAAGGGTTGAACCTAAAGAATGCATGCTGAGTTCGTACATGCTTGGGTTTCAACATCTTGATTGTGATGTGAGTGCACAGGACAAAGAAGCCTACAGTGCATACTAAGTATGCACCATCCTTTACAGAGAAGTTGTGTAACACAGACTAGACTATATCTAGCTATTATCAAAATCCGCACATAGAAGGACCGGCAAAATGGTAATGCTTACCTTCAGAAAAATATCCACATTAGAATAAGGCATATACCTCCTGCTGCTCTTCCCAAAAGCAAATGGCTCATATTTGTATGCTTTTATATGTTTAAGCTCCATCCGTGTTGCTAACAACATTTGCCATACTACTCTTGACACTTCAAAGCTATAAGACAGAAGAATAAGAGGAAAGCACGTTTAAAAAATGATTAGAAGTCCGTTTAAGAAATGAAACAAAATAAATAAACTGCCATTAGCATTTACCTGGAATTGCAATTAATAAATATTTGTACATTGAAACATATCACTAAGTCTCTTCACACATCCTTATGTCAATACAGCTTTTTCTTTTTGTCTAAAATTTTCCTTCTATGTTCGGTTTCTTCTCAATTATACTGTGCATTACTAATTTACTATATAATTAGGAACACAAATTTTCTCAGCAACCGCTGGCAGAACCATGAGTAGCACCAGTGGAATAAAGATGGGTCTGTTATGGTCATTGAGATATTTGACCTTAAATGCACAAAGATAAAAGGAAACCACTAGTTCCCTAAATAAATTAAAAGATCATTTCCATTTGGAATGCACTCAAAGCTTATGTTAATGTTAGTACACAGCATTTCATCAATAAACATGCACACAAACGTGTGCGTGTATGAGTGCCTGTTATGCTAAATCTCAGCAAATTAATACCCTTTTTTCTCTTCCTATATATAAGCCATTATATATAATGATAGTTCTTTGGCTTTTCTGTATTCTGGTCCTCCTCCACTTATTATTTTGAGACATAATCACTAGAACTTCAAAATCATCTGGTTAATAAGCTAGAATTAAAAGTCAGGATCATAAGCCTAACCTACTTCAAGAACTTAAACAACTATGCATATGCTTTGAATGTTTCTCCTTTTAGCAAAATATTGATTGAAAATTTGACGGGATTCTTTCACTAGCTCCAGAATTGAATTCAACAAGGATAAAAGATCTCATATATTGTGGTTACCCCTCATTTTTATTATCTAAACATCCTTTGTTTAAAAAGATTCTGTATTTATTAACTACCCAAATGCATTGAAGAGAAAAAAGAAAGCAAATGATTCCAAAATCAAAAAGAAAAACAGTCCATCCTTCAATGAAGTTATTTCTGCATTCCAAAGTATTAGCCTTTGATATGCCATTACACAATACACTATTTGCACTGTCTTGAGATGCATTTTGATTAAGGTTTCTGTTGTAAAAATGCGGCGAGGCAAGTAGTGACAGATGGAATTTATAATTAACATGAGTTTAACCAAAAAAATAAATAGATTGAAGGGCTTGACAAGACACATAATAGAATAAAACTAAGACAAAGAGGACCTACAGCAACTCTCCATCAGCTAACAAATCAGAAATATCCATGTTTTCATTCAATCTCGTCTGGAGGACCTCCCCAAGCCATATTCTTGTTTGGGTCTGCATAAAAATCACGTTAAGTTAAATTAAAAACTAAAACACTCAATGCTACAAAATAATAATAATAATAATAATAATAATAATAATAAAATTAAAAATATTTGGTTAGCAATTAAAATCCAATAACATCAACTTTACAAATATAATCCTTAAAAATTAAGCAACCTCAAAAATCAAAATACTCTTATCTAACATCGAGAAAGTAGAGCAATCCAAATAGTAAGCTATAAATTAAATTAAAGACTAAATGCCGCAAAATTTTATTTTGTTAGCCATTAAAATCCAATTACATCGAGTTTACAAATATAATACTAAAGAATTAAACGAGTCCAAGTACAAAGAAAACAAAAAAAGCTTAAAAATACTCTTATTTAACATAGAGAAGATTTTAATGAATATAATTTAAAATGAAGAAGAAGAGACCTGCAAGAAGGCGTCATCGAGTTCACGGAAGCTGGATTCAGGGGAGAGAGGAGAAGAGTGGGCTACAACCATTGCAAGTGTTGGATTTTTCAGACAATGAACAAGAACTAACCCAATTTCGATATTTTTATATTTTGTAAATGGTTGAAATCAGAAGTAGTGCTTCCGGTTACTGTTTTTGTTCTTGTAGTAAAAATGACGGAGCGGGGATTACGCCCTTTTTGTTTGCATTTGTTTTCTTTTTTGTCTTGTGTCTACTATGACTATCTCGACTGTTATTGTTGACCACACACTATTCCTCATATCTTTTCTTTTCTTTACTGATTAAATCCCATAATTTTGATTTTATTTTATTCACACCCCTGTACTTGGGAATTAAATTATATTTGATCTTCTTTTGGGATTACTAATGTTCACTTAATAGAGGAGAAAAGCAACAACTTAACCAATTAGAGATATATTTGTCCGAGATGTAACTCAAACCTGTTTTTTATAATCAAATTAATAAAAATAAAATATGATTGAACCCGTATGGATTTAATTTTATCAAATTTCTAATGTTAAAACATAAAAACAGTAAGTGAATCATTAAAATATCAAGTGAACCGATTTTTAATCATTTTATAATTGATTGACCTAATAAAATTCGAACCATCAACAGTTTTTATCAAATGAGTATGTGTTGTATTAATAGGTCGTGTAAGATATTTTTCATGTCTAATTTAGTTAACTAAACTTATAATAGGAGGTTAAATAACTCTCAAACTATAAGGGGTGTTTATGAAATTGGGATATAGATGGGAGGGAGTGAAAAGACAGGACCAAATAAAAAGGGGTGTAGCTTTTTGCACCACTCGTTATTGTATACCATAGTTGAAACCATTGTGGCTTCTATTTGTTCTATATACTGACCACACAAGTCAATCTTATTACATTGTTATCTTCTTCTATCATATATTCATATAACCACTAATCTACAAGATAAATCAATATAATTAATTTAATCAATGGATACAAACACAAGGATGCAACATTAGGTTACAGGGCAGCCCAAAGACAATTTCATCTCACCCATTACTTTAAATCTAACATTAAGGTAGGTTTACTCACTTCAATCTACTTTCAATACTAATCCATTATATTGTTCTATTATTGTAGATATTTAATATTATAATTATAATGTCACAGACCAGACCTCTTCCTACAAACACAAACACATGCCAAAGGAGATCAGTCAGTCCCTCCAACACTTAAATCAAACACGCCGTTTTTGGGTCTTGTGACCGGCCAAGTCACAAGAGGGTACAATCATAATTTTGTCCTACGAACGCAAGTCTGTTAGGCTTATTAAAGACTTATGAAATTTATTCAATATATTTATACAATGATGGACTTTTTAGAGGTGGTTGTTGGGACTTTTAGGAGAGTTTAGTAGTGGGATAACATGTTTATAATAATGTGTGTAAATTGAAATCTCTTGTCTTCTTATTGTCCAAAGCATTTAATTTATACTAGTTCTTGGGGAGGTTGTCGTTCAAATTAACCCACAGTATGTTGGCTCGCAACCCTGCCAAGGGTTGTAGGCTTGTTGTAAGCTCCTAGATTGATCACCTCTGCGTGGTAACTTGTGACAAAGGCGGCGATGCTCTCGTTTTCCTCCTGATGATTTATGGCTAAATGTATAATTCTTTGTGCAAACAATATGAATGAATAAATGCATGATATGACAATAAATAAGTTGTAATTTTTATATTTAGTTTGTAAATGTAACACCGTTTGCAATAAATTATTAGATTATTTAAGAAACTAAATTTGACTTTACTTTTTCAATATAAAATTAGTTTAAAAAAGTTAATTATATTGCAGCCCCTCTTTGGGTGCTGCTGCTGGAATGGCTGTAGTTTTTGGTGTTCTGGGCAAAGTCTGTAGGGGCGGTGGTGCTGCAGTCCCCTCTCGTGGGGATGTTTTTGTGTTGGTGGGCTGGGCTGTTTGGTGGTGCTTTGTGGAAATGTCTGCTGCAGTTCCCTCTTGTTTTTCCGTTTTAGTATGGCTCTTATGACTGGTGTTTTTTTCCTGGTCCAGGGTTGGTGTTGCTCTGTAAAGGATTATTCATCCGTGTCTCTTGGTCCCTTTGATCTCTCCAGGGGACATTCCGGTTAGGGCCTAGGGGTCCTCCCCTTTAGATGTATTTTCTTTATTCTTTATAAAATTAGGTTATCCGAAAAAAAAAAAAAAAAAAAAAAAAAAAGCAATTTCAAAACCATCGATCATGAATTTGTAGTCAAATTTGTTACAAGAACATAATATTTAAATACTATGCTAATTATTTGGGCCTTACCAATTGTGGGCTCGTTGATCTCTTTTTTTGTATTTGGATTTGGACCTTTGGAAAAATGGCTTCAATCTCAAGGATCTGGAGCTCAAAGGAATCCAAAGAGTTTGATAATGAGAAGCGGGAGGAAGGACCCATCATATTCATGGTACATATTTTGCTTTAACACTTGGGAGTGTTGTTTCTTGGTATTGTTCAAAAGAAGCAAAAAAGGACACAGTAGCATTATTGTTTTTTCACTTTTTCAAACTTTGAATAGAGATGAAAGACAAAGAAAGAAAACAGAAACACCCACATTTTTTTTCTTTCTCTTCTTTTCATGTTCAACATTCTGCAAAAGCAAACCCATCCCCATTTCTTTCTCTTCTCACTACCCAATCCCATCTTTTTATAATTTTAAAGTAGCATCATTCAACCATCCAATCCCATCAAATTTATAAAACAAAATTAAATATTAAATATTCATTCAATTCCATTATCCCCCCTCCCTTTTTTTCCTTTTGACTGTACACTTTGTTATTTCACCCTCTTCCACATCTTCATTTACTCCAGAACCATACCTATTTTCCCTGCCTTCCTCACCATTAAAGCCAAAAAAATAAAAATAATAATAATAATCTTGTACCTGCCCACCATTTCTCTACGATATACAAGGTGGTTTCAACCCCCTGTCAAAAACTTTTGCTATTAGCACACAATTGCATCACTCTAAAACACACAATGTGCCAGTCCACAATCTGCCTCACCACGATTTCCATAATTTATATGCCTGTTGTTGTGCTGCTTTTGGGGGCTGGAGAACCAGATTTTCAATTACCGGTTTCTATTTCACTCCAAATGTCTCTTGTTTTTTGTTTTTCCATCATCACTTGTCCTCTATAAAGATTCTGTGTATGAAATCGCGGAATCTTTTGGAGTATAGCTTAGGATCAACGGCTGAGATGGACGCGGGATCCACTTGTAAGGACTTATATGCATGTTCTAGCTTTTTGCTGATATCATAATCCTGAAGAATGTCAATGATACCAAAATATAGGACTACATCATATAACTCGCCACCTCTAGGTGACGGTGAAGGGGTTGAATTGCTACTTCCACTCCCTACAAACTGATCTATATCGATTCTTGTCACTCTTTGTGCTCTGGCTGGCGTGTTTGCCCCTAACCGGATTAGTGGCCCCCTGCAATATCACAACAATGAGGCATAATATTATCGAACAACTTATATGTAAGTCAAAAGGAATTTCAAATCATAGGTCAGTAAAAATGACCATGCTAAAAGATAACCGCCATTTCCAATCATAAGCATAATAATTTCTCAATTATAGATATGTAATATGTAGCTGCAGCTTTCAAATGCAATTATTGAAGTTTATTGATCCATCAAATGTCGTCAAATGGAAATCAGTATTTAATAATTTTGACCATATAAATTTTTTTTCCTAATGCTTCAAAGTTTCATCAAAATACATAACGTATAGTTTGATTGTTCAATCAGTGAATGGAGCTGACCGAATGGTTACCAAAGAAAGCTTTCTAAAAACATGAAGACCCCACCTGCATCTTTTGCCTACAAAATTACCCACATTTTCTCCACAACTCAAATCATTTTCAGTCATCCTACCCCCACAAAGATTGACCTTAGGAGACGAAAATTGATAAAAACAACCAACTTGGGATTAGGCAAATAATTAGAAACAGCAAAAAGAAATTTTGTACAACCTCAAATTTTTCTTGTTCGGGAACCGACCACATTTTCATGGTTTTGTGCAAATGGAAGTAGATATTTCAAAGGGACTCATTGTATTCAGCTAGTCTAAACTAAGCCCCAAGTTCAAGAATAAAGATAACATGAGGCACATGCACAACATAAAAGGTAAGGAGATGCCACTGAAGGGCCCCCAACTTTGAATTTTACACAACAAATGCATCAACTATTATTTCTATTTTTTTATTTTTTATTTTTTTTTACTTTGAAGACATATAAGATTTTGTAAACATACTAGCACTTTTTTCAGGTAAAAAACAGAGTTCAAAAATAAGGAATATATTAAAGTAGTCTAGATCTTCTACAGAACATAGCCGGACTACTATAACATTGATCTATAAGGCAGATTTTACTCCTTAACCCCAATTTCATTGTACTTTATTTGTACGCCATGGCATAGATAAGATAGTATGCATCCTCGTATACCAGATTTATATTAATAAGATGTCAGAGCAGGTAACATGGACAAGGTTTTATCCGCTGGTGACAACATACAGAAGCCCTAGAGAATTCAACTAATGATTTAAAGAATACAGTACAACAATGAAAAGTTAACACATACCGGCCTTCCATAACCCAGTCCATATCTGGCAGCAAGTGATATCCTCGCATACATGTCTGATCAAGATTCACATCTCGTTTGCCTGATTAAAGTTAAAGCACTCAGCATATTTAGGATTCAATTTAATGGCAAGACGAAATTTAACAATATTAGAAAGCTGAGGACCAAGATAACTTACTGATACACTTATCAGTTGGTGACATCTTCATCTCATCACCTGAGTAATCATCACGAAAATGAAGACCAATCAGGAGACTGTAATCCATTATTCTCTCCGCTTCCAAGAACTCACAATCTCTATCAATTTGCCTGTGTACAATATAGGATACAAGATCAATGAAGATCAAAGCCAACATAATGTGCACATGTCTGTGTGTGTGACACAGAGAGAGTCGTTTATCCAAAACACATGTAAAGAAAGAAAAACAATACACAGCTCTCTGAAATTTACCGAATAAGTTCTTGAAACCATGAGCGTTCCAGACGAAATACAAAATTAAGATCAAGATCCTTTAATGTAGTTGTCTCATCAATTTCCTCCTCAGGCTTATCAGTTAGACGGCCATAAGAAGAACCTTTCAGGTCGAAACGTTTATGAATACGATACTCCGAGCAAAAGAGATTGCCCATCACAATAAACCGAGTCTGGTTTCCCATTCAATCAGTATTAATCAAATTGAATAAACAATGCATTAAAATGCAAAACTTCGTGCTCGAATCATACCTTTTGACCTCCCACTGGTTTAACACAATGCACGCCAAAAAACCTTGTTACCAAGGAGTTCTTGTACTTACAAACGTGTTGGTAGTAGCTTGGAAGCATTCTAGTGAGCACCTGAACATGGTTACCAACCAATTGTGAAAATCAATTGACCCTGGAATAGAATGTATAGTAAACTGAGAAAACAAACACTGGAAACTAGAAACAGAACCAACTGCTTATTCCCAAGAATTGCTATTTGTATAAAATTCACTTTCCAGATTTTCTTTTTGGGCACACTCTCCTTTTTGAGTTTAATGAATTAGTAAGAAGAATGGGAACTAACCTTGACTTCAGATTTCTTCACAGTTTTTATCATAAATCGGTCATCTTGAGTTAGGTAAAAGAAGCTTCCACTCTTTCCAGGGGAAGACAACTCTCTAAGTGCATCATTTCCACAAATAGCCAACATGTAATCCGCCGGATCTATTGCAAACAATTCCCTCAAATGTCTAAATACCAAACAAAGTAACCACCATAATTCAGAAAATTACAAAGATATCAAAACTTGATATTGCAAGAATCCACAAGAAAAAAAAAATCAAACTAACTGAAAAAACGAAAAATTCTCAACTAACACATTAAAATTTCAAGCTACCTGAACACCATAGGACAATAATCCTTCCATCTAAAGTCCACCGACTGATGGGGAGGCGTAAACTTGGATCCCTCCGGTGGAAACCTTGTCCAAAACTTCTCCTTGGGATCAAAATCACTTTGCCTAAGTTCCCTCAAAATTGAAGCATGTTTTCCTACAGAATGCCTGCAAAACAAACACCAAGCAAAACTCAATGAAACCAAACCAAACCAAAGAAAAGCAATATCTTAATCTTAAATTCAATGAGGTTGTTACCTGATACCCAGTTGAAGATTAAGCATCAAATCATAGTTCTTATGGCCTTTAGATATTGTCTGACCAGGTTTCTTAATCTCATCATCAGTAGCAGCAGACCCACAAGGACTCCTCTGAAATTTATCGACACCAACTCCTCCAAATTGGTTACAAAATCTGCCATCCTTATAAAACCTTGACGCTGCTTCCACATTATCAACAATATCACAAGTGATATCCCCTGCTTCTCCATCCAATTCCCATATACACAACCTCGGACGATCCACAGACGATCTCTTCCTCCCTCCCATTACTTCAAAACCCTTGTCTTTTTCCTCATTTTTCACATTCTCATTCCTCACATTTGACCATGTAAACACTCCTTTACCTTTAGGGAGCCCATTTTCCCAGTACCCTTCATATCTATTCCCATTGCTCCAACTCAAAACTCCTTTACCAAATATAACTCCATTCTTCCACTCTCCCAAATAAACATTGCCATCGCTCCAAGTGTATTTCCCATGACCGTCCATCAAATTGAACTTCCATGAACCTTCATAGACATCCCCATTAGCATAACGCTTCTCGCCATACCCATGTTTCCGGTCATTGTTCCAAGAGCCTTTATACGTGTCACCATCTACGCCAATGAAAGTGCCTTCACCATCCATACGCCCGGACTTAAAATGACCTTGATACGTTGCCCCAGAAGGCCAAGAAAATTTGCCTTTACCATAAGCCTTGCCTCGCTTCCACTCGCCTTCGTACATGCAACCATCGGACCAAACGTACTTGCCCTTACCGTGAGGGACGTTCCCAGAGAAGCCTCCGGTGTAGAGGTCGCCGTTGGGGAGGATTTTTTCAACAACAACGGAGGGTTGTTGATCGCGCGTGGGGGTGACGCGCCGGGTGTTGGTCTGGTGGGATCGGGTTCGTGCGTTGTTGTTGTTGGGTGGTGGTGGGAGTGGGAGTGGGAGTTGTTGGAGAGTTTCTTGCATGTTTTGGTGTTGGGGATTTTAAAGAAGCGAAGGCGACATTGTTGGGGAAAAAATGGAGGTGTTAGTGTTTGTGTTGGTAGTGAGAATGAGAATGAGAATCCTACAAACAGAAGAAGCAGAGAGTGAAAGCGAAAGAAACAAAGTTAAAACTAAAGAGAGAGTGAATGGTTATGGCATGAACATGATGGGCCGGCCTTTTTCTTTATTATCATAAACAACCTTTCTGTTTGACATATTATCATTCATCAGGGGGAAGTAATGATAATTTTTAAACTTAGAGGGGTTTTAGGGAAGGCTTAGTTTAATAAATATGTAATGACGAAGATAGCCTCATGTATGTTGTTGGGATCGTGTTGAAAAACATGATCTAATATTTCAAATGACAACATGCAACCCACAAACTGTCATCTCTGCTCTTGTCTATTTTTCAACATTCAAATCTTTGTTTTTTTGTTATAAAGACACGTGTCGATATATTTTACTTAGCTAATTATATTGGTGGATATAAAACGTTTACCTTTTTATTTTCTATTTTTTGTTAGGCTTTGTTTCATCGATTCAGGATCTGATGAAATATTTTATTTAAAATAAGGTTTTATTTGTTTAATAAACAAACGCAGCCCCCACTCACCAAAATATGAACTCAAGATTGAATTAACTTGGTTCGACTTAATACCCCAACTTATTTGTTTATTTTACTGATAAATAAATTAAAAAAAAAAAAAATATATATATATATATATATGAAACAATTTATAAGAAGTATATGTTGAAATATTGATTTCTAAAAACAAAAAACAGAATTTTCTTTTTATTGGAAAAAGAAAAAATGGCCCTAGCTAATCAAGTCAAGTCAAGTGTGGATAATTTATTTGTCTTATTTATTAATGTAAGTTGACTTTTTGTTAAATTACCAGAATGCCCTTGTTTAACTCAATTCTTCTAACATTGGGAGGGAGGCTACTGTTATCTTATCTCAGTTCATATTCGTCACTTGAACAAATGAAATAATAATGACCCATTCTTGGTGTTACTATCAACATTAAACCAAATTGATTTATTTCTCAATTTAATGTTACATGTTCTTCAACTCTAATGTTGTGGGGTGGGGGTTTACAAATGAAGGAATCATTCTTCTAATAACGTTATTATCAACACTTTATACTGATAAATAATTAATATTGATTAATTAGTTTTGTCATTTTATATTACAATTCATAGAGTCCAAGGTTTCTTTCTATCCCTATTTTTGATTTCCTGATGGGTAAAAATGAAACGGGAAGTAAAATAGGGACACGTGGATCAATGGTCAAATTGACGGTGACCATGCAGGATAATGTGTTCCCATCATCCCGCCAACACGTTAACACTGGATACTATTTTCATATTTAAAATGCAGACACATCCAAGGAGCATATTATTAAATTAATTAATTTTATGAAAATACAACGACTCTTCTCTGAACTGAACACATAAAAAACCCATTAATCAGGCCATTGATATGACAGATCGTGATTGCTCAGAACAAGTACCAGTTGCTGCTAATTTATTATCATTTCTCTTCCGTCGCCCTCCCTCTCATAAACTCGGCTTCTTATTAAATATATTAAATACTAAATCATAAATATTTAAATGTGAGTTTGAGAGAGAGAAAAAGTGTATCTTATTATTAATTTTGTACATTATTGTGTCCACGTTATGCAGTTGCCTGGCTGAACAAATAAATGAATAAATAAAATCAACACCAGGAAAAAAAAATGTGCGGCCTTTTAAGCTACTGCTCTATATGGCAAGCATGGCAGCCTATCTGTCCAGTATAATTGACAGAATTTGTGTACATCATTTGATTAATAGTAAACTGAAAGAAAAACCCCATTTATTTTTTTTCAAGAGAGAAAAAAAAAAAAAATGAGAAGTTGAATTAGTTAGTCAAAGATTTGATCAGTATGGAGTTGGCCAAAGATATCAGGGCATGATTCCCAGTTGCCCATTTCCTTGGCCTCCCAGTAGCCGCCAATGTAGCGGTATGTATCACTACCTTTCTCTTTCGCAAACCATCTTGGCTTCCATCCCCTCTCTTGCATCTTCCGTGCCTGAATCATCCATCATATTTTGAAACAATCCATATTATCTACTGATTTTGCTGTGGTTATTACTTCTAGAGAAACTAATAATGATTGAGAACAATACAAGACACGTGAATTTACCTGCCGCTGCCTCCGTTCTAGCCGCAACTTCTCTGAATTCGCCATTTCATATTCTCCATTTTCTAAGCATCTTTGGTCAGGTCTCAGTCTAGAGTCTGTTGGTGGCAACTTCTCCTGTTTAGTGTTTACAATTCTAATGTCAGCGGTAGAAGTGGAATCCTTTAAAAGGAATAGGTGAAAAATGATATTACTCAACACAAAATAAGATAATGCAACAGGGATTAGCACCATAACCTTAAGTCCAGGTGTAAGCTCGTTTAACGTGATGGCAAAGCGTGTAAAGTTATATCTGGTTTGATATTTAGGCGGTTTGCTTCGCTTCCAAAGCAACTGGGGTTCTGACTTTCCTTTCCCAGAACCATCACCGTTTATATAGTGCATGCTCTCATCCCATTTTCCAAACAATGTTGCCACAGTTCTACCATTTCTATCTTGAACTATACCTTGTACCTGCAGGAAAACTTAAATTACATTTACAATTTGCGGCACAACTCCAGAATATATCCATGAAAGAGAAATATGTAGTCCTGGCCTTAACCAATTCTCCCGAAAGCAATACCCTGACTTAACATTTTATAATACTAATCACTGGATAATTTTCTTAAGAAACATATCTTTGACGCAAAAAATAGAAAACAGAGATCATTTTGGCAGGGAATTACCAGACCAAAGGGTGAAGTCTATCCCATAAGCAACCATGGCAAGCACTATATTTTATGTAGAAAGAAAACCTTATATGTACGAATCTAATAACCATAAACCAATTAAGCACCGAATTTTCTAGAAGCTAGATATAAGTTGCAATTTATGAATTTGGAAAAGTAATTGTGCAGATTAATGTGCATAAAAGAACACATAATACTGATGTAGGACTACTGTCTCACGTATAAACAAATCTCCCAATATTTTGAAGAGATAAAGAAAGTGCACCTGGTGAGGATTTCTATCAATGATTGACTGTTCCTTGAATTTTAGCTTACATGAGTACTCACGATTTCCCTCTATTCGCATTGTACCATAGTGATCACAATAGAGTTTTCCTAAAATGAGGTTGTAAATGGATGTCGTTACCTGGCAGTCAGAAGCAAGTAAATCGGCATGCACATTACAGAGGATGGAGAAAATGATCAAACATCAAAAACATACCTTGCTCCATTGAAAAACTTCTCCATCATCAAATTCCATGGTCAATACACCAACAGGATCAAGCTGAATGGAGCGACCCCAAAATTTACTTCTTAAATTGCTGTCACCCCAAAATTTCCAGCCACGCCCCTCACAGTGGCATGCAACAATCATTGGGTGATGACTAACCTATCTCAAGAGAACATTTTAATTAAATGATCAGAAGAGGGAAAGAGAAATGGGTGGATCAAAACCATAAGAACACAAACATAAATGTAACTCCAATAACAAGTTAAGAAGATTAAATACAACTCCAGAGATACTCCAAGCAAATATACCAAGTCAATATCAAGATGCTAGCATTTACCTCACAAACTACCCAAGAAATCAAAGGTTGAACTCAAGCATAGTTGCAAACAACATAGATGCAACAGTACAGATAACATAGACAAATCTCATTATATTGGATGTTCAAACCAATAAAACTACACATCTGCTACAAATGCACAGCAGTGAATCAGAATATTTCCACATAAGGCCAACCTGCAGAGAAATAGGGATACAATATTTGACTAGCAACAGTAGATAGCCATGCAAAAACACGGCCTAAGTAACTAGCCTAGCCTTGATGAATGCAACATTTATTGAGACTCTGCGCTCAACTAAAACACACTGATAAGCTTTCATACACAAGTAGGAATTCTGCTTATCTTGGACGTTGCTAGTTACCACTGCCCAATGCCTGAGTCAAACTTTTCTCAATAAAATTGCAATAATTTGATTTCTTTGTTTCTATTAGTCTTCACAATTTAGCATATAAAAACTGGCCAATAAATTCTACTGAAAATCACGTCTTTAGAAACTTTATGACAACTATTCATCAAGCAGAATCCTCCACATGGTCCACACCATTTTGTTTTTGGAATCACGCAAAAGGTCCCATACTATTTGAGGGGTTTTTCATAAACAATTCAGTAGGCAATGTGGGAATTTGACACCCTACCCTCAGCTCATCCATCTTAACCTCAATGCTTTGGAGTCTTGGATCATAGTTGCTAAAGTAATAGAGACATTAAAATGGTTAGCTATGGAAATGATTCGACTACTACTAATACTTTTCTCCAATTCTTTTTACAGCTTTCACAGTGTAGTGGGGGAAAAATTAAATAGTTGTCTATTGCTTTTCCGATAATGAAGACATAAGCCATTGAAAAAAAAAAAAAAAAAAAATCAGAACCAGAACCAGAATTTTTTATTTTATCAGGATAATTTTCTTTAAGAAAAATTTTTGAAATTTGATTTACCAGAACATGAACGTAAACATTCTGAACTAAAGTAGTCTAACTCTCTGATTGAAAGCAGACTTAAGAGTTCAGAAGACAATTAACCTGGGACATCCCATAACCCATACAGAGCCCACAAATGGATCAGAAACCTTCACTGCAAGAAGTGTATATTCCCAAGTTGTGGGGGATATTGTCCAATAATTTGAACCACTCAGAGATACAGCATAGCCATAAATATAGATCTGCCATGATTAATTTGGTCCTCTTGGTGACTGTGATCAACATTTTTTAAGACTTCCTATATAACACTGAGTGTCATTCAAATGTCAAAACATTAGAAGATCTTTCGTATGAAAGGACATGAACAAGGCTCTGAAAAAATCTGCTAAGGAAATTCTTGAAAAACCAAGTTGAGGCCTTTCTGAAGCTTTAAGATCTAATCCTAGAGTGAGTTATATTAACATAAACAATTTTTTACTGAATACACAAGATCTTAATCCGTACTCTTGATGTAGATAAGAGCACAACTGCAACAAAAAAGGAAGCTTCTGCTCATGCAGACTTGTTATGTAAATGTAATAAATATGCAGATATACGTCATCAATTTCTTGAAATATCAGCGAAAATATTACCTTCTCAGAGAAGAACCGAAGGCCTTTATCTGGATAATCTGCCTCATATGTCTCACCCAATAATGGGTTGAATGGCTTGCAGTTTCTTCCATCAGTAGAAGCATACCCTGATACTGCAAACGCTGCTACATTCAGTATCCTCATAAGACTATTGCCCTACAAATTTTAACCAAGAACTTCAATAAAATCTCACAAGAGACAATAAATAAATGGAAAGGCATAAATTCTGGGAAGAAATCTACAAAAACCAATCTTCAGGCACTAGTACAATCTACATGAAAATTCGTCAGCTATAATAATGAACTTACAAGCAAAAGAAGGACCTCTGAAAAGACTGAAAAAAACAAGACGATGAATTGAAGCCCATTACGCTTTAAATCAATTACAGAGAAAAAAATAAATAAAGTGAACACAAAAAGAAATGGATTCTGGCTATGTTAAAGTGTTGCAGACATTTCCTTTTCACAGATTTTAGAGAAGTTCAGACAAAAAGAGACATTGAGAATAGAATATTCAATATGCCATAAAAATATTTTCACTCACTGTGAAAATAAAGTTTCAATATTAAAACAATGGAGTCAGTGTGCAAGACTTGCAACCACACAGCTTAGTCAAGTATAAGAATGTGCAAACATGCCCAGTTGCACCAATACAGTTGAGTTCTATTTGTTACAAACACTAATACGACTACAAGATGTTTCTACTCAGAAAATTTACCGGCTCACATGGCTGCCATATGTCAGTCACTAATAGCAGTGCATTTCATGTGCTAAATGCGAGGCATAGGCAATGGATGACTGACACAATGTAAACAGTGCTAGATACAAATTAGCATCAAGGCATTCTGAAAACGCCCCAAAGTGAACAACCAGGTAAAATGAATTATCAAATAAATGAAATAAAGTAATATGAATTAACTACATAACACTTTCAGCTGTTTGCACACAACACATTTTCACAAACTGCAATGGAAAACCATGTTAGATGATACTTATGAATATAGACTTACCATTTTACCCCATTCATAGGCTCGGTCTATAAGGTAAGAACACTCAAGATCTTCAAAACACTTCTGTAAAGAAGAAAGGGGCTCATTAAAATAAACTGGAAGGCATACTTTGGTTAGATCCTTCCCAATATTATCTTTGATCATTGACCAAAGACTGACTCCCTTCTCTTTTTCAACTGGGTCAGGCAATTTCTTGCGCCGCCTAACAAAAGGGTAGTCAGATCCAATGGATCTCATGCAAGGGTCAGAGCCATCTTCACAACCAAACTCATCTTCATCATCAGAATCAAATGGTGATCGATGATACTCAGATCCGTTGCTCCTAAAAGAACTTGATGAAAGAAAATCTCGGGTATCAAAGAATGCATTGTCCTCATCATCTGTTTCTTCCTCTATGACATCTTGTTTATCATGGTCATCATCAGATTCACTTTCACTTGCTTCTGAAATATATTCCATAAAACCAAATATATTAAATAAAATGAATCACATTTAATGCATAGAACATTTCAGAAAGTAGTAAATATAAAATATACACAAGCAAAAATTATTAATAAATCACCAATATGAAGTGGTATTTTTTTCCAAATCAGCTGGAAAAACCAGATATACCATATCTAATGTGTAATAGATTCTACTTTTCATTCACTACAATAATGCAAGAATTAGAGAAGATATAAATTAACCAATTGAGAAGGCCAGGAAGAATAGATACATAGAAAAACAGAAAACCTTGCAGACTGCAATATACAACTAGATTGATCACTACACACAGTAAGACAAGTCAAACATGCATAATATGTATGCTTCTCAATCTTGCTGCTTCTATAATGAGTTGAAAAATATATTTTGATAGTTTCTAATAGAATGACTTCTTTCTATTTCAATTGGTAGATATACTCACATAACAAGGCTAGTCGGAAGAAACTTAACTAAAAGTTTAATTAACAAAAAAACTTCTAGTCAATGGACAATAAACAATTACAGCAACTCCACAGAGAGACAGCTGGAAGAGGAATTAATACTGAATACTATCCACAAACTTTGCATACTAAACGTGCAAATAACATTGAAAGCTTACTAATAAATTTATGTACTCTAGCATCTAATTCTAATAGTGATGTGCATAACTCTTAACATTTAAAATTTTCAAAGATTTTTCTACATCCTACCAACTTCATTTCTATCCCCTGCAATGCACCAGAAAGTTTGAAACCAAGTATCAGAAGAAACTACAATATAGTACCCTACAACCATAAATTGTTTCATTTTCGTTGAACTATACATTAAATGCATGAACATTCTTTGTATTTTGTCCTAAAATGTCTGATTAACACTGTCAATGGTTCAATACTGCCATATTCTAATATTGCGATAATATATCATAAATTTATTTAATTCTACAGCATCTTCCAATTTGACATTTATGACATAAATCATGAAAAATTAAGAGCAAATTAACAAACTCTTAAAACACTAGCAACTATTCTTGCTTTTAACCAACATAGTCATTACAAAAACTTATCATTAAAAACAGATTATTCCACAGGCTGAGAAACTGAAGTAGATCCTATAAGATCTGACTGATTTCACAGTTAAAGCACAAATGTATAAATACAAGCATGCATTATGCCATAAAATTAAGAAGACATGTCCTCTCAAGTCACATTTCTTTAATTAATCTGTGGAGATGCATAATGCAGACTCAAAGACATGTATACAATTGCCTGTGTAAACTGCAAAGCTGTTGGCCATAAGAGTATGTTATACGGGTCCATTAAACAAGTTTTAAATGTATAAAGAAAATGAAGTTTGATCACATCATACCGCTGCCCTTTTCTTGCCTTAGCATAGAGGAAGCTTCTTGCTCTTTTAGTTGCCTTTGGCTTTCATCAACAAGTGTATTCTCCAAGTCTACTTTTTCTGTCTGAAAGATCCAGAGATAAAAGTAAATTAGCATACCCAAAAAGAAAGTTCATTGTTCACTATAAATCAAAAAGAGAAGGGGACAATTAGACAAGTAATGACTTTACAGGGATGATAAACATAAAAAAAATAATAATAATTAGATGACACTAAGAGTATGCTACAGATAAAAGCTAAAGGAACTAGAATTAAGTTCTGTAATAAGTGGTTTATTGTAAAAAGTAGTAAAATCCATAACTGTCCATGTTAATTACTGTATTTATTGTTGAAGCGTATTCTCTCAGTAAAAAATTAAGATTAAATCGAACATTTAAGCTTTCCTGCATTATTTTTTCTTGTTAAAGAAAACTTCAGTATAAAAGGAAACAAAAAATATGCTCACTATCTAACCAATTTATCTTTTCCTACAAGCAGGGCTAAGCCAGTAAACTCACCCAAAAAGCACAACTCTAAAAAAGGGAAATTGGAAAAGAGTTGTTTGTTTGTTGTAGATACCTCCAAATGACGCAAAGTGTCAAGGAGCAACACCTGCCTCTGCTTGAGGACCACAAGACGGTTATGAAGTGCAGAAAATTCAGTTTTCATAATGTGCTCAGTATCCTGGATGGCATCCTCACTCACCCCCTCTTCTAACAATCTCTGCCTCAATTTATCCGTTGAAACATCTGCTTTTTCCACAGGTGCCATCAACTCACTGTTTGATATTCTTGGAAACAACTCCTTCACCGCCTGCAATGCTTCCATCCATGTCACTCTATCTTCCCTATTAGCCGCCCTCAAATGCATCCTCTTTGTTCCCGTAAATATCGAAAACCTCCTGTCATCTGATTTACTCTCCCTAATAGATGACACCTAACAGAAAACAATCAAAATCAAAATGGGCCTAATACACAAACTTATAATCCATTTTCCAAGAAAATTACATGAAATTCAAGTAGTTTCTATTTACTCTCCCTAATTTACACCACCTAACACCAAACAATAAAAATTCAGAGTTAAAATCCATACGCCAAACATACAGTTAGTTTTGCTAGAAGACAAAATTTCATGTAATTAACCGAGACAAAATTTTCATCCACCAAATCTAGAAGTGGGGACCTAAAATTCAGACAATTAGATTCTCAGTAAACAAACTTTCACGAAATTCAAACAGCAAATTCGTCATGAACTTGTAAAATTCAGAAAAGTAGTTCCTTAGAAGCCAATATTTTCATGAAATCGAAATAGCAGAAAAAAAAATTTTCAATAAATTAACGCCACCAAATAGTTAATTCGCTAAAAGACAAACTTCAACTGAACTTGACGGCACTTAAATAGTTGGTACCTTCAAATGGATTTCTCCAACAGGTTTTCTTTTACGTGATTGGCTATTGACGTGGCGCAACATTTTTCTCATCGACACTTCGCCGATGACCTTCGATCCTTTTTCGGTTTCTTTATTAACAACGATCTTATTCGAACCGTGAAGTTTATAATAAGATAAAACTCCATCTTTCAACACAAACCATCGGGGACGCCATCCTCTCCCGTAATTCACCCATTTAAACAAAATTCCCGAAATGCCCTGCTGATCCACCAACACTAGTTCCTTTTCTCTCACCGACGACTCCATTCCACACAGCGACTCTAATGTGACCGATCGCCTCAGCGTGCGGCCGTTCTCCGACGTCGCGTTGCACTGTTGCGGCGACGATGATCCGTGGCTCCGATTCGTCGGAATCGTAGCGGAGAGCGATCGATACGGCGTCGTTGTCCCTGAAGACGGCATGTTAAGGAGTTCTGTCAACGTTGTCTTTTGAGGAAGAGGAGAAGGAGGATGAGGAGGAGGAAGCGTTGAGTTCCGATCCGGTGCAGTGGAGACACAGCAGAATGGATGCATGTCATCCAATCATTACTTTACAGTTGGTGTTTCTCCGGGAAAATAGGTAAATTAGCTTGTTTTTATTAATTAAAAACAAATACGATTCAAAGAATGGTCAATTTCTGTTGTTTTGGTTAGTTTAATAAAAATGGAAAAAGAAAATAAATAGATAAGTACATTTTTTAAAATTATGAATAAATAAAATATCAGTCTTATCAGAATGAGGAGGTGGTGATTAGAAAAATCCGCCACGGGATGTTATTAAGAAAATGTTAATCGGCGGCGTAACCGAGAGGAGTCACCTATGTCTCCGGATTGCTTTTAATAAAGGAGGCGGTTCGCTTTGAAATTTGAGATATTATTGTATGCTAGAATTCCCATGGTACTATCGTGCACCAACCAATGATCTAAAGCAATAATAGATGACACGGTTTGTGAATGTGGTAAAGAGTTGCTGACACGTCATGTGGGGCATTCCCGAGTTTTAAGTGCCAACGGTATTTTAGTTAGAATAGGTTCATCAATTCCGAGTGATTGCAGCAGAGTTAAGAGAACGTTGGTAAGAAAATATTGTGTTCCTTTGTTTTATCATCGTGGATAGGATTTTGAAAATAATGTTGGATAGTTGAATATGGGAGTATTACAAGATAAAATTTATAAATTTATAAAAAGACCTATGCGTTTGCTAATTTAATAAACACCCTAATATATAATTTTTTTTAAAATGACAAAAACACCCCATTATCTACAGTACCAGATTTCGACCACCACCATCAGAATCTGATTGAAAAATTGTGTTACACCACATATCAACCCAAATCTGACAGGTAGGGCATTGATATGGTCTTTTTTGATCAGATCTACCACAGATCTGGCCGGAAAAGGTTAGATCTACGGCCAAATTTGGCTGTCAACGATCGCAAATATCCATCTTTGACCGTCAACGATGACCAAAGATATGGCTGTCGTTGTCTATCAGCGATAGCCAAAGATATGACTGTCATTGTCTGTCAGCGATGGCCAAAGATATGGTTATCATTGTCTGTCAACGATGACCAAGATTTGGTCGTTGTTGACCGTCAACAACAGCCATTTTTTTTGTTGTCGCTGACAGCTAGATATGGCCGGAAAAGGCCATATCAGTGAATTACCGGTCATTTTCGGTGGTGGTGTAGACCATTGTTGTGACAGATTCCGGCTACCACCGACGGTGGTTGCCGGAATCTGACAAGTATTGGTAGGTGGAGGTGTTTTTGTAAATTTTTAAACTTTTTTCTGGGGGTATTTAATGAAATTAATAAACCTAAGAGGTCTAAAATAATTTAAAAAATAGACTAATATTTCTCAAATAATGTGTCAAACAATATTTGGGGAATAGGATTGGGAATATGGGTAAAAATAATAAGCCATACAGAGTCATTGTAAGTGTAGTATTATTCATAATAATAATATATGATTTAATAAATAATTTTTTATTATTATAATAATAATAAAAATTCTCTTTCTTTTAAGTTTTTTATGTTAAAATAAATGATAAAAAATAATTAAATAAATATTTATTAACTATTCATTTATAATTTTAAAAATATATTAATTCTCAAGTAAAATTGTTGTTTGATTAAATCTTAGGAGCGTGGACATCAACACCCCTTAAATACTATGTCATAAAACCAACTTTACCCGCTTTATTTCAGAAATTAATAATGTTACCATCAGTTTTTAAAGTAAGACGTTAAAGAATAACTGAATAAGGGATGATATTGTTATATATTGAAAGCTATAGGGCTGAAGTTTAAGCGAAAAGATAGGAGGTTACAAAATAAGTTGTGAATTATTCGTATACGTGGTGGCCACGAGCATTAAATGATTTCTACGTAAAAATGGGTACTATAATAAATTTTGCCTACGCGGTCAGTGGCTATTATCCGCAAGGTGACAGAATTTTCATTTATTTTTATATTACAAAATATTCTTTTCAATTTTAGAAAGCGCTGTAATAATATAGCTATTTATTGTTATATAATAATAATTAATATAGCTATATATTTATAGATCATTGTTACAAAACTTGTGTCTTAATAGTTTAATATTGTAAGTGGCCTATTAACTCAACTTAGTTATGGATAATTACAATGTACTTCCTAAGGAAAGTGGATATAGTTTGAGGTAACCACCTCAGTAACTAATTGGTAACTGTTTAAAGTTATGAGTGGTGATTATAAATTTAAGCATTAGTTTTCCCAATTCATAGTATAGAAAAAACACTTAAAAATCCTAAAGTGAATTGAGTCAATTGAATCTTTTTACAGTGAATCACACGAACACTAATGGCAGGAATTACATTAGGTCCGAACGGAGATATATAATATTTATTCTGCATTTTATAGAATAATGATGATAACATGCCTAATTATCATATGTTTCATTTGGTATTTTGAGTATTTACATGCCTAATTATCACATGTTTCACATTTATTAATGAAATAATTGATTATTAAGATGCTTTGTATGGGAATTGAATGAAAATATCATTTTTTTTTTTGTTGTTGTTGTTGTTGTTAATGGTAGCTTCTGATTTAAATATCAAATTGTCATTACTTTTGAGTATGTTATGGCTTGTTGATATGTGATACATACTGGAAATTTGAAATGAAATTGAAGTTTGGATTGCAAAGTTACGATGATTTAAAGTTTTAGGGTAGATTAAATATCCTGCAAATGCTTGTGTTGAAAGGTTGGGGAGGAACATTTGTTAGGCATGGCAATGGGGCAGGGCAGGGATCTCATTCACCGTATCCATCCCCGTCCTCAAATCACTCCCACCCCCGCCCATCCCCTTAAAAGGGATAATAGGAATTCCCCTTCTCCACCCCAAAGGGGAATGTTGAAGGCCCATCCCCGCCCCATTAATTTTACATAAACATAAATTAATTTGAACATTATCAAACACAATAGTTAATTCTCGTCCACATGACAAACACTTAAATTAATCGTTTAAATATAATTAATTTTACATAAATATGGGTTAGGGTTTGTTCTTGTTCAATTATTTAGGGTGAGGAAAATTGAAAAAATATGGGTTTATATTGGGTAGGATAATTGTGTAATTAAGTGAAATATAGGAGTATATATATATATAATTTTTAATTTTATATATTATATACGGGGTGGGGCGGGGCGGGGGAAAGACATCACCCACCCTCGCCCCATCCCTGAGGATGGGGATTAAAATGCCCCCCACCCCCAACCCCGCCCCTATCCCTGAAAAAACTAGGGCTACCCCACCCCATATGGGGCGGTGTGGGACGGGTTTTCGGAATTCCAAGGAACATTGCCATGTTTAACATTTGTTACTGTTTATTCCGACTCTCATTCCAGGAGAGTGAATTTCACCCCATGCCATAGAATTTGACGCTGTTTTACTATAATATTTAAAATTGCAGTTATGTATTGCTATATTTTTCTAGAATTTTCTGAACATGTTAAATATTTACTATATATTTATGAGATATTCTAGAATTTCGTACTCTCAAAATTAAATGACTTGTAAACATGTTTTGATGATGTTATTTACATTTATGGAATGTTGGTTGATGGATCTACATGTGAATGTTTGATTTGTAACTATACAGAATGTATGGGTTTTTATAATTATTTTTGGGTATTTGAAATTGTCTAAATAATTATAAATTCGAGAAAATTATGTAAATTATTGAACATGTTATTTTGGTATTCTGGAATTTATTGTGATGCTATACATGTCATTTGGCTGACATGAATATACTTTATGTGGTGCATTCTAACATGTTATGTTAAGAGAAGCATAATATATATTTGGAAAATTTACAGTTATGCCACTTGTACAATAGGAGTTGATGGATTTTGTTTTGTGCCCATTTTCTTTTAATTTCTGCTTAAGGAGTTTTCATTTCTTCCCAACCCACTGAAATGGGTAGCAGTTTTGGGCCTAGTTTTCATTTCTACCCAGCCCACTAAAAATGGGCATCAGGAAGTAGAAATGGGTTTTCAGATTTCAAGCCCAATTTTAATGCTGCTCAGCCCATTGAAAATGAGTTTCAAGAAGCAGAATCGTTTTTTTTCTTCAAATTTCATGCCTAGTTTTCTTCTCCTATAGAAAAATTAAATTAGGTTTCAGTTTTAAGGCCCAACATTATTCTTACTAAATTTCAGCCACATTAATTAATTAAATTTCTTATTTGTAATTATAAATTGATGCAATGATATATGTATGAAATTATTATAATTTACAACTAGTGCATTTAAATAAATAATGTCCCTACATGGATTATTTATTTTTATGTACAATGTTGGAATAAGATGAAATGTGAAACAATAAAATAGTGAGAATTTTTTCTTCGGCCCACAAGCAAGAAAAATTTTCATTATTTTATTGTGTAATATTTTAATCTTATTGTTAAGTGTAATGATTATTATGCATTATAAATTTTGCCTACATGTAATCTATAAAATATAATTAATCAAGATTTACTAAACTTGGACTATAAAGTATGTCTAGTCAAATTTTTAGTATTATGTTTAGTAGACTATAATGGTTATGATTTTTGCCTACAGGTAAATTATAACTTATTTTAGTTTGTGACTGATTATTAGCATGAGTTGATATCAATATAAAGTAATTTTACATTAATGTATCTTGACATTTATTATTCAATTTTGCAGTTATGTTAGACAACCAATTTCGTCTCCCATTATGACTGGGGAGAACTATACTGAATGGAAAGAAAAACCTTTCAAACTTTGGGGGGTATGGATTTGGATTTGGCGTTTCGCATTTGCAAACCAGATGGCATTACAGAAATAAATATGCTAGCTAAAAAGGTCAATTTTGAGAATTGGGAACGCTCAAACCATCTGAGTCTAATGCTCATTAAAGTAAACATTTCTAAGAGCATTAAAGATTCTATCCCTAAATGCACTAAGGCCACTAATTATCTGACAACAATGGATGCCCAATTCATAAAATATGGAAAGCAAATGGCAAGCAAACTTATGGAAAAGCCGAGTTCCATGAAACATCATGGACTAAAGGGAGTGCATGATCATATCATGCGTATGAGGGATTTCGCAGCACAATTAAAGGAGTTAGAAATTAACATATCTAAATCCTTCTAACTTTCATTCTTAACTTTCTCCTTGAGTATAGTACCTTCAAGGTAACTTACAACACAAAATAGGTTAAATGGTCAGCAAATAAATTGTTGGGCATGTGTGTTCGGGAGGGGGA